AAAGATTAATTTTTCTAAATCATTGCTCAAAATCTTGTGATTACCAGAAAAGTTCCACTTCAGCCTGTTTATTAAGCAAGACATCTAGACCCAGGCATCTGTTTGCATCTCCTTTTTAACCGAGATAAAGGTAGGTCTCAAGGCCATGGCCAGATATGGACCTTGGCTTAACATTAACTGTTCTAGAGGGGAAACGTCATCATGTCTATGAAGACATAACCCAGTTTTAGAAGTTTCTAGAAGCAGTGATGTGACAAACACCCCCCTCCTTTGAGATGAGAACGTGGCTCTATGAAAGCAGGTTTCTGTTTGACTCTCGCTGATGTGTCTGTGTCTTCCCTTGTTTTTTCTTTTCTTTTCTTTCTGTTTTTGTTTTGTTTTGTTTCGTTTTTTTGAGATAGAGTCTCACTCTGTCATCCAGGCTGGAGTGCAGTGGTGCAATCTTGGTTCACTACAACCTCCACCTCCTGGGTTTAAGCAATTCTCCTGCTTCAGCCTCCCGAGTAGCTGGGATTACAGGCACCTGCCACCATGCCCAGCTAACTTTTGTATTTTTAGTAGAGACGGAGTTTTGCCATGTTGGCCAGGCTGGTCTTGAACTCCTGACCTCACGTGATCTGCCCACCTGGGCCTCCCAAAGTGCTGAGATTACAGGCCTGAGCCACTGTGCCTGGGCTTCCCCTGCTTTTTCTTTGTGTGGATTTGAATACATGTCAGATGTGCTGTGTGGGTCTAAGTGAATGTTCCACCTGTGTTTTTCCTTCACACAGTCCCAGGCCCTGATATGTTGTCTATATGACTTACTTTCTGGAGCAGACAGGAACAGTGTAATGAAAGAGATCAGACTTGGGTTTATCCCATCCAGCAACGGATGTCCTGTGTGATCTTGGGCATGTCATTCGAACTCCTGACCACAAGCTCCTCATCTAAGAAAGTAGTGATATTATCTACTCCCACAAGGTTTCTATGAGATTTAGACCAGATAATATACCAGCAGTACACAGGAGAGGTAATATTTTTTTTCCTTTGCATAGTCTTTTCCTGCAACTGCTTTTCATTCTGCTCTTCTTCCTTCTTCCCCTTCTCTGTTTTTTGTTCATTTGTTTTGTTTTGTTTTTTTAACCCAGGTCGAGTCAATTTCAAAGGCTGGTTCTGCTTCTTTTTTACTCCAGCTTTTCATTTTGAAAAGTTTCAAACCTTACACCAGTGTGGTGGTTCATGCCTATAATCCCAGCACTTTGGGAGGCCAAGGCAGGTGGATCGCTTGAGGCCAAGAGTTCAAGACCATCTTGGGCAACACAGCAAGATCTTGTCTTTATACGAAAAAAAAATGTTTTTTGAGAGAGAGAGTCTCCCTCTGTGGCCCAGGCTAGAGTGCAATGCCACAATCGCAGCTCAATGCAACCTCCACCTCCCGGGTTCAAGCTATTCTCCTGCCTCAGCCTCCCAAGCAGCTGGGATTACAGATGCCTGCCACCACGCCTGGCTAATTTTTGTATTTTTAGTAGAGACAGCATTTCACCATGTTGGTCAGTCTGGTCTCAAACTAAAAATTTTTTAAATTAGCTGGGCACTGTGGTGTGCACCTGTAGTCCCAGCTACTTGGGAGGCTGAAGCAGGAGGATCACTTCAAATCAGAGTTCAAGGCTGCAGTGAGCTAAGATTGCACCACTGCACTCCAGTCTGTGTGACAGAGCAAGACCCTGTCTCAAAAAAAAAAAAAAAGGAGAGAAAAAGAGAGAGAGAGAGAAAGAAAACAGAAAAGAAAGGAAAAGAGAAAGTTTTAAAACTTAAAAAAAATAAGAATCATGTAAGGGACATGCATGTACCCTTCATCAAGATTCACTCATTGTTTACATTCTGCCACATTCCTACTTTATTTTTTTCACCATTTATCTCTTAAGAAAAAGACATTCTGTCTTTGTTGCACAATACAATGATCACGTTCAGTAAATGTACATGATTTAATACTATATTCTGATATATAGTCCATATTCAACTTTTCCAATTACCCAAAAATGTCCACTTTTCTTTTTTTATTTTTATTTATTTATTCTTTTTGAGATGGGGTCTTGCTCTGTTGCCCAGGCGGGAGTGCAATGGCACAATCTCAGCTCACTGCAACCTCCGCCTCCCAGGTTCAAGCGATTCTTCTGCCTCAGCCTCCCAAGTAGCTGGGATTATAGGCATGTGCCAGCATGCCTGGCTAATTTTTGTATTTTTAGTACAGATGGGGTTTCACCATATTGGCCAGGCTGGTCTCGAACTCCTGACCTCAGCTGATCCACCCGCCTCAGCCTCCCAAAGTGCTGGGATTACAGGTGTGAGCCACCGCGCCCAGCCCTACTTTTCTTAAGAGTCCAGACCAGTTACTTTGTTCATTTTGCAGGATATTCCTCAGTTTGGATTTAGCTGATCTATTCCTCTTGATTGTGGTAGCAGTATCGCGGAGGTGAGGCTGTGTCCTCAGGGCATCGCATCAGTGGAGCACATGATGTCTCATTGTCGCATTATTGATCATTTTAAGTTTGATCATTTGGTTAAAGTCATGTCCACCAGATTTTCTCAATTAAAAGTATTTCTTTGATAAGTGTTAAGTAATAGTTTTCTTTTTTTTTTTTTTTTTTTTTTTTTGAGACGGAGTCTTTGCTCTGTCGCCCAGGCTGGAGTGCAGTGGCACGAACTCGGCTCACTGCAAGCTCCGCCTCCCAGGTTTACGCCATTCTCCTGCCTCAGCCTCCCGAGTAGCTGGGACTACAGGCGCCCGCCACCTCGCCTGGCTAGTTTCTTGTATTTTTTAGTAGAGACGGGATTTCACCTGGTTAGCCAGGATGGTCTCGATCTCCTGACCTCGTGATCCGCCCGTCTCGGCCTCCCAAAGTGCTGGGATTACAGGCTTGAGCCACCGCGCCCGGCCAATAGTTTTCATATAGTTTTAGTTCTGAGTCTTGTCGTGCATTCTGAGGTCATATTCTCATTTTTTCACCTACCCCGGAGTTTGACTTTGCAGAGTGGAATGATACTTCAAGTGAATACCATGTTCTCCAACCATCTTTCACCTAATGGTCTATTCATTCATTGCTTATTCTTGCCACCCACCACGGTGGTTGTAGAATTGTGTCTTTTAAAAAAAAAAATTCTATCATTGTCTCTTCTACGGCTCTCCCTTAAGCTGTTAACCTACTCGGCAAATACTTTTGAAGATTTTTCATGACCAAGGTAGGCACTATGCTTAGCAACACACACAAAGGCGAATAAGATGGCCTCGACCCCTGCCCCTGTGGAGCTTGAGTGAATATAGCATGTTTCTAATTTTTTTGAGTCAAGGTTTCACTCTGTCACCTGGACTTGAATGCAGTGTTAGATCACAGCTCACTGCAACCTAAAACTCCTAGGTTCAAGTGATCCTCCCACCTCAGCCTCCCAAGTAGCTAGGTGCATGCCACCTCATCCAGCTAACTTTTAAAAATTTTTTGTAGAGACTGTATCATGCTGTGTCGCCCAGGCTAGTAGTTTTTTAAATGTATCCATTTACTTAACAAATATTCACTCAGAGTCTATCATGTATTTATATTGTTCTATTTACTGAGAATCCAACAGTGAACAAAAACAGATCCCTGCCCTCACGGGGCTTACATTCTAGTTGATGAGCAGGAAGAGAGTATAATTAGAGAAAGCCTAGGTGGTAGAAAAAGTTGATTTTGAAATAGGTCAGAGCTCAGTAATGAGGAGACATTAAAGCAAAGACCTAAAGGCAGTGAGAGAGCAGCTGTTTGGGTAAATGGGGAACAGGTGTTCCAGGCAGAGAGAAAAGCATGAGCAAATGCACGCTCACAGGGTTCGAGTTACAGCTGGGAGGCTTGTGTGAGCAGAACACAGAGATAAAATCCAATGGGCCAGTGATTGTGGGGGCGGGAGGGTGGAGGCAGTTGAGAAGGTAGCTGAATGTGTGAGTTAGAAAGAGGCATTTGAGGCCAGGTGTGGTGGCTCATGCCTGTAATCCCAGCACTCTGGGAGGCCAAGGCAGGTGGATCACTTGAGGTCAGGAGTTCAAGACCAGCCTGACCAACATGGTGAAACCCCGTCAGTACTAAAAATACAAAAATTAGCTGGACATGGTGGCGCATGCCTGTAATCCAACTACTTGGGAGGCTGAGGCAGGAGAATCACTTGAACCTGGGAGGCGGAGGTTGCAGTGAGCCAAGATCACTCCATTGCACTCCAGCCTGGGCAACAGAGTGAGACTCCGTCTCAAAAAAAAAAAGAAAGAAAGAAAAGAAAAAGAAAGAGGCGCTTGGGTTGGAGAGGTGCTTTGGGGGTTGGCAGCATATGTATGGTATTTAAAGCCCTAAGAGCACCTAGGGAGTGAGTGTAGACCAAGGCCGAAGAGAAAGAGGTCAGGAAGGATGAGGAGGAACCCACGGAGAAGCCTGGAAGGAGAAGCTGATGAGGTAGATAGGGATGGAACCAGAATCTCTGGGGCCTGAATCTTACACAATTTTGGGAGGCTCCCTTTTAAAAAGAAGGGATTGTTTTAACCTTGGGATGGGAGATGAGGTTTCCCTTTAAAAAATACAAAATAATCAACGAAAAATTAAGGACAAGAGGGAATATTTATTTAGAGCCAGAAAGGAAATCACAATGAATTACCACTTTTTATATAACAAACCTGCACATGTATACCTACCCCTGAACCTAAAATAATTTTTTAAATAAAATAAAGAAAAATATTTAAAATCATGGCTAGGGTAGGAGACAGCGATAATTTATAAAGCGTATTTGTTATTAATCACTAGAGATCACGGAACCCAAAAAGACTTTACTGTGATACTTTACTGTGAAAAAATAGTTTTCACTGCCTAAAATGAAACTCTTTATTTTCCAGTATTATTAAAATACGCAGACATTTGAAAAAAACACTCAAAATAAAAATTGACAAATAACTATAAACATCTAAAAAGCAACATTGCAATCTTTATGATGATTAAATAACTTGCTGATGTGTTTTTCCTATACTTTTGGTTGCATATTCTTTTATCTTCTCTTCCTATAGGGCATACAATTTTCTGTAGGTGATAGATGATTTGGTGTTTCCTCCAGCAAGACTGTTCAAACTTAATTTTTAGGACTGAGAGTTGAGAAGAAGTTGACTTCCGTTTGACAGCTCTAGATGGTAATGCCCCCTCTGTAACTTCCTCTGTGGTTTCTAACTCTGGCGGTGCTTCTTGCCAGGCAACAAGGCCTCAGAGAAGTGCAGCTTTTGTTCTTACTAACATGGCACCCCATGGCATCCAATGGCCAGGCGACAACTGGACTGCTTGGCCAGGACCACAGAACCATCAGTTCCCACCACCCTTCCAACTCCTGGGCTGGGACTGGGGGTGACATAATGTAGCCAGGAAGCTTGGATCAAGGCAACCCCGGGGCAAGGAGCGGAGCAGCGTTTCCTTCAGACCTTCTTCTTGGGATGGGACATGAGATCTAATGTCCATGAAATGCATCATGGGAGGGCTTTTGCTGGACTCCAAGTAAAGTGGAGATAGTGCTGGCAGTCACCTGGCCCCACTCCAAGACCTAGAAACTCCTACCCAGGTGACCTCCCAGCAAGAGAACAGTGTTGTGTGCTGCTGCTGGGGTGCCAGAGGAGACATGCGGCATCAGAAGGGTCCTGCAAGTGAGATGCCCCGAAATGTAAGCTTCTTTATTGGCTTCAAGGTACACTGGCCTCTGTGAGGAGGAAAACCAGGAAAGAAAACTGTCAGGAAAGGCAAGTGAAGAAAATATTTCCAGGAGGGAGTGATCAATAATATTAAAGGCTGTATAAGATGTGGACTGTGAACTAACCATTGGATTTCACAACAGAGAGATCATTGGTAATCTCTTTTTTCAAAATAACTTTAATACTGGAATGCTTGAGCTTCTTTTTTTTTTTTTTTTTTTTTTTTTTTTTTTGGTAAACGTGGGATTTCACCATGTTGCCCAGGCTGGTCTTGAACTCCTGGGCTCAAGTGATCTGCCTACCCTGACCTCCCAAAGTGCTGGGATCACAGGCATGAGCCACCGCACCCCACAGGTTGTTGGTAATCTTGACACACAGTTTGGTGACATAGTGCAAGCAAAAGTCCAGTTGGGGTAGATTCATGAGAAAATAGAGACAAGTAGGGGAGAGTGAATAGATCCCACTAATCACAGGACTTTTGTTTCTAAAAAGAAATGTTCGTGATTTTTATTTATTAACAAACGTGATAAATACAATATTTTCTATTTGTGTCTCTTCAAATACTAAATGGCATTGTCCCTCTGGTTTTAGGTGACAGTGGGTCCTATGTACGAAAGCAGTTCCCCATTCCTTATATAGACCCTCAAAGTAGAAAAAAAAAAAAGGGGGAACTTAAAATAATCTACAGACTTGGCACTCTTTCCAACCCATGGGCATCCAAGTGAAACTAGTCTACAACTTGTCTCCCAGAGCTGGACGCCAGCCGGACAGATGGAAGTGGGGATGCTGGGTTCATATGTGCTGACCTCTGTTGCCCTGTGGCAAGTGTTCTTGCACTTGAGTGCTGGGAAACCTTTTTGGGTCTTATTCAGTTCTCTCACTTTTTTTCTAACTGAAGCTTGACTTCGCAGCCTGCCTCCACCTTGTCCCACCCACTTATTTCCAAATTGCTTCGATTTTATGCAAAACATAAATTTTTCACTGACTTTATGCTTTGCATAAAATCACAGCAATTTGGAAACAAGCATATTTTAAAATCGTATCTTTTATTTTTTGTTTTTATTTTTTAATTTTAGAGACAGGGTCTCACTTTGTCACTCAGGCTAAAGTGCAGTGGTGCCATCATAGCTCACTGTAGCCGTGAGCTCTTGGGCTCAAGGGATTCTCCCACCTCAGCCTCCTGAGTAGCTGAGACCACAGGTGCACACCACTATGCCTGGCTAATTATTTTTAGCACAGGGGATAGAGATTGGGTCTTGCTATGTTGTCCAGGCTGGTCTTGAACTCCTGGCCTCAAGTGATCCTCCCACTTCTGCCTCCCAAAGTGCTGGAATTTCAGGTGTGACCCACTGCACCTGGCCTAAATCATATTTTTAAAGATGACTCTCATTACGTGTGAGTGTGTGTGTGTGTGTGTGTGTATGAGTGTGGGTGTGTGTGTGTGTCTTTACTGCAAAATTCTAAGACTTTTCAAAGCACTCTCTTAGTATTTTTTTAAATCACCGAAATAAATCATGTCATTTAATGATTACTTTATTTAAAATGTTATTTACAGGTAACTTTTGCCATGGCAATATTGCTTACAAAAGAACCCTGTTGTCTTGGTTGTTCCTTCTATGTGACCCTAGATATGCATATACACATGTCCATATGAATTTTGTTTGTGATTCACTGCATATTAGTCTGAATTGATCATATGACCACAGTCATTGTCCTTTTGATTTAATAAATACTTGCTAGCCTATTAAGATTTTCACTGATCTCAGGGGTACCGTGCAAAGTCGGTTAAGTTGGCCCAAGAGATTTCTTCATCTTAGTTCTCTGCTGAGTGAATTATTTGATATAATTTGTAACTTTAGAGATGCTTCTGTTTCCTGTTTTATGCCACACAGAAGCCTCGGCTTCCCCTTCCTCCTCCTCCAAACATTGCAAGAACCTTTAACCATATGCTGTGTTATTCTGTGAACCACTTCCTCTTGATAAAACGCTTTCATTGCATTTTGAAAAAATACAACACTGAAGGAATCAGGTAAAATTCAATATTCTAAGTTATTTTCAATCACACTGTACACAGGTGATTTCACAGTTTCCACCAGCATTTGCGAGCATCTGAATTCTGCAGTGCATATTTCATCCTAAGTGCAATCCCATTCATAAGCTTTTTAAAATTTTTTCCTCCTCTTTTGTATCTGTAGTTGTAATATGTTGACTGATTTATTTCCTAGAAAAAAAATTGCCAGATGGTATTTAATTTAAAAATAATAAAAATATTAAAGTAAATTGATACTTGGAGAGCCTCAGATTTTTTAAACTTATTTCTCATCAATTCCAGTTCTATTTCAGTTTTGGCAATCTAGTAATAAACTCAAAACACTGTAGGGTAAAAAAACAGCAGTCCCTGTAACTCCAGCACTTTGGGAGGCTGAGGCGAGTGGATCGCCTGAGGTCATGAGTTGGAAACCAGCCTGGCCAACATGGTGAAACCCCTTCTCAAGTGAAAAAAAAAAATTAGCTGGGCATGGTGACGGGTGCCTGTAATCCCAGCCACTTGGGAGGCTGAGGCAGGAGAAACGCTTGAACTGGGAGGTGGAGGTTGCAGTGAGCTGAGATCACACCATTGCACTCCAGCCTGAGCAACAAGAGCAAAACTCCATCTCAAAGAAAAAAAAAAAGCAGTCAATACTAGGATACAAACATTTTTTCTTTAACTATCTTTAACATAGAAAGATATACAGTATGCAGATAAATTCATTGAAGAGAAGAAATATAGCTGAGGAAAACCCACACAGAAAAATCTTCCAGAAATTTGTTTAAGCCTCCAACCATGTCTGGGATCAATAAATATTTGGTGACTGACTTACGCTGTGTAAACTCGATTGAGTTACTAATCTCTGGATGCCTCAGTTTTCTCATCTAAGAGGAACCTAAAAGTGTTTTCATTTCACCTAGGGTATGAGGATGGATTTAATCAGTCAATGCACATAATGCACCAGGACAATCCCTGGCACGAAGTGAGAACACCTAATAGTTATCCGCTGTTATTTTTATTGTTATCAGGCAGGTAAAGAGCAAGGGGAGATTTCTGTCTCTCTCACCCCCAGGCATGCGCAGAAACAATTGAATGAGGAGTTTTATTCTTGGTAGACAGACAGGTAGCAATTTCTCTGGTGAAATACTGAAGACTAATTCTAACCTTCCTGAACTTCACTGACTGTGACTCATTTTAATAATCGGAAAGTCATTTTTATACCTCCTCTGTTGTTTCATTTTTTTGTATTATTTATTTTGAGCCAGGGTCTCGCTCTGTTGCCCAGGCTGGAATGCAATAGTACAATCATGAGTCACTGCAGCCTTTAACTTCTGGGCTCAAAGGATCTTCCTGCCTCTGCCTCATGAAGAGCTGGGACTACAAGCGCATGCCACTATGACTGGCTATTTTTTTTATTTTTTGTAGAGATAAGGTCTTGCTTGCAAATATTCTATTTGGTCTTTTCTTTTCATTCTCAGTGCTCTGAAATTTTCATTCTGTTATTGGTATTAGTATTTTAATCCAAGTAAAGACTAAGCGTAACTAAAAATACAGCTGAAAAGGTGAAATTTGCAACCATTCAAATTAGCTTAGACAACCGGTGAGTTTGTAACATCTTAATATGATGCCATAAGAAAGCAGAGTTTTGACAGATAAGCTCCTTATAAAAATGTAAATAATATGTGTTTCTTCGTTGTATTGACACTTGCTGCCACTGAAAACAACTCTGTAAACCCAAAACTTGATAATTACAAGAAGAAAAAAATCTTAACAACTTTTTTATTTCACGTAGAAGTTGTTAGGACCACTTGTTTGTTTTGTTTTGTTGTGAGGTGGAGTCTTGCTCTGTCACCCAGGCTGGAGTGCAGCACGACCTCGGCTCACTGCTACCGCCACCTCCTGTGTTCAAGCGATTCTTGTGCCTCAGACTCCCAAGTAGCTTACAGGCACGCACCACCACGCCCAGCTAATTTTTTGGTATTTTTAGTAGAGACAGGTTTCACCATGCTGGCCAGGCTGGTCTCAAACTCCCGACCTCAAGTGATCCACCTGCCTCAGTCTCACAAAGTGCTGGGATTAGAGGCATGAGCCACTGCGCCCAGCCTTGTTTTGAACTTATATGAAAAATAGTGTTTTTTTGTTTTCTGTTTTATTAAAAAATTCCTATTATAAACAATTTTATTATTACATATTTAATTTAATATATAAAATGGTATGCTTTTATGAATAAATCTTTTAGTTTTAAGAGCATCAAATAATCCCTTAATTTAGTATCATTCTGCTCAAAATTCAGTTCCTAGCACGAAATTATAACGTATTATTGTTATAACAAAGGAGTACTTAAGCATGTTTATGTGTTCACTTTCGTTCTTACCGATCAGCAAATTTAAAATAAACACATGAAATTAGTTATAGGACATGAATT